AGGAAAGCAGACAGACACGGGGGTAAACTAGCAATTAGGTCACGAGAAAACAAGCACTGTTAAACAGCTATTGCTAATCTGCATGAGATACATTTACTCAATTAGATAGATGGAACTGTTATTATGAACTCTCATTCTGTGGAGAGTCTCTAAAATTAAGAGGAACAGGGGCAAACAAAATGCACGTTTGGTGATTTACAACCTTTCTATGCTACTTGTGAAGTGACAATGCAGAATAATATAATGAAATAAGCAAATCTAACAGATTCTTTGCATGCAAGCTTCAGTAAAAAATTCCATAACTTTTCTTTGCCTACAGATGCATCTCTTGTTCTTCCCTTGGGAGTCTTATTTCTTTTAAAAAAAAAGGCAACTGACAGCTCATTCTGCTTCCCAATGATAGCACTGCTCTGACTGACCAAAATAATTCCGTGCCAGATTTCAGACTCGCTAATTACAGGTGGTGACTCTAAAAACTTGCTCTTGCTCCCTGCCAGCAAGCCTACCAAGCGGGATCAGGAGGCCAACTGGTGAGACCGGCAAGGATCAGCCCCTGCTCAGCCAGTGATGTCGGGTCACCCTGCAGACACGGGGTTCACACGCCATGTCACACTCTCAGCCGGACAGGGGACAGGGGGGTGCTTCTGCAAGGGGTCAGGCCTGTCCTGGACGGGGAGGAGTGCCAAACCTGCACTTCTCATGTGTGGGCACTGCTACTGGAGGCAACAACAACAAAAAGGGACTCTTGCGTGACATCTGGCAGAGAAGAAAGACTGAAAAGTTCACATGTGGTCTTTCAGTGAAATGCAGGAACACGCACACTACGATTTCAATGACTCTATACTTTCACTCGCACTTCTGTTTTCAAAAACGAGTCCTTTTAAAACAGTAGTTCACAGATTTCAATGAAGAATGTATGCCAGCTATTTTGAACAATGGCAATACATTACTATCTGACAATTTAACAAGTTTTTAATAACCTGAGCCAAGACCCATTTCAAGGGCCCCATTTTGTGGCAGGTACCTCAAACAAAATGGCAGGCCTCCCTAACAAGCATTAAATGCACTATTTTGCTAGATTTGGCCTCCGTCTATGATGCTCACTGAGGTGCTGAATGTTACCCATTTTCTCAAAATAGATTCAGCTACAGCTAAGCTGGAAATTATCACTGAAACTAGATCTCTTTGCTGATTTTACAGAATTAAGCTACTTCGTAAATATAAATAATGCAGCTGTATTTTAAGTGCCTAAAGGTTTACACGTACTCAAAGCTAGTAAATTGTTACAGGGCACTCAATGCACTTGTCAGAATAAAGGAACTTAGAAGCATGCACTTAAGTACAGTAAATAAAGTAAGCACGCACATACAAACACAGACAAAAAAACTTTTAAAATTGTCTTCAGAAGAGGGTAGGTTTAATCACTGTCAAAAGCAAGTAACTGAAAGAAGCAAAGGAAAAGTCACCTATAATTATTCTGATTACTTTATTAAGAGAAATGCTAATTGCCTTCTCTGGTCTTTTATAAGAGCGTAAAGACTTTAAGGCATTTATTTCAACAACAGCATGAATCCATCTCTGAAGTCTGCATCCATGCTTTTGGAAATTCAAATTATGTTCAATTTCTATCAAAAATCAACTCAATATGCACAATTATTAAACATAATATTAAAAAAATATTTACAGACAAAGAGAATACAAGAACACTCAAAACGCAAGAAGTCACTTCTGAAAATGTATACTTAGATATCTCTACATTTGAGATTTCCCTCCTCCTGTAAAGCAACATTTCTAGCAAAGTATGCTGTTCTTGCTATGATATAACCATCACCCGAGTTTTACGCTTCTATGGGAACAAGGCAGAAGCCTACTGCAAAATTAGTCACAAAATAAAAGCTTATTTATATTTAACAGCAGTACAGAAATCTATAAATCACGTATTTTAGAAGATTATAAAAATGTTTGTTCATATACATCCTGTGTAGTAGGTAAATTATATTACATCTTTGTTTATTAAGACAGTGGTAAAAACTCACTCTGAAGTGTTTCAAGTTCAGCCTTAGCCAGGGCATCTTCTTTCGCCTTCATTTTTGTTTCTTTATATTCTACATATAATTGTCTGGCATCCTTTAAGAAAATGTTGCAATGGCATTAGCATCCTTATACAAACAAGTTACCGCAATGGCTCTGTTTTAATTTCTCAATTAACCTCGCAAAAAAATTTAAGATACATTTGTTTCCTTGAGTTACAGCAATTTTCAGTATAGAAAGTATTTTTTTAGAATGTAGAATTTTTGTGTAATAAAACGTTCAACTGTAATAGTGTTGATATTATAGACTATGATGCTCACTGGCAACCTGAAAAGCAAAATGGTTAGAAAAGCATTTCTGATCACTACCTACAGCTTTGTAAGAGGCTATGTACCCACTTTGCTCACATCAGCAATCTGGAAGTTCAAGGAAGAAAGAAAAGTTTTTAATTCAAGTAGTGTGTGCGGGGACAAAGGCAATTGCTAGGCAGCAGTCATCTTGGTGTGAACTCATTATGGTAACACTAACTCACTAACTGCATGTTCCAAAATCCAACTCATTCTCTTCCCCCCCCCCTTTTTTTTTTTTCAGAAAACCCCAACTTCTATATTGCTATTAAAGCACTGAAAATATACATTAAGTTTTTTCTCCAAGGATTAGATTATAATCTGAAATCTATTTGGCAAATTTACACATAAAACTAGAAGTCCTGTCACAAATCTCACAACAAGGTACACATTTCCAAAATCTGTTGAATTAGTAATTACAGATTTGCACTGAAAGCTTTCCAACATGAACAATCGGATTGCTGAAGCAAGAGGTATGGAGACTCTCACCAGTTCAAGAGATTCCTATACACATTCAAAACCAATGAATCTATAATAGAAATGCTGAAATAGACAAATTATTATTTATCATTTCTGAGCATGCAGAACATCTATTGCATTAAATAAAAATTAATTATAGTATTAGATAAACCTAAAGTTCTTTACAGCTCAAAATAATTTTATTCTTGTTATTACTTTAACAGTCCCACTTATCACATATAAAGGGTGATTAAGATTTTAATGTAGAATGTATTGTAAAACATCAGTAAATGTAATTTCAACTGTAATCCCATAAATTTGAACAAAACCTGGGCTCATTAAAAATGAAGTAACACATCTTAATAAATTTTGAAAATAAAAACCGAGTTAAGCAGTCATTATTGCTGCCTTTAATTGTAGAAGCCATCCAAAAACATTGCTATCTCCAAAGATACTATGACATAACTGTTGCGTTATACTGGCATCTACCCCTTCACAGATACTTGAGGGAGGTGGGAAAACACAGGACAGAATCCTAATCCAGCTCTAAGCAGAACTTTGTAATATTTTGGAGACATCTCACCGATGCAAGTGAGAGTGCCTGAAGAATAACTCTGACAAATTCCCACAAAACATCAACAAGGTTTCATCTCCTTCCAGAATACCTCTTCTCACTCTGTCTTTACATTTGGGTACGGGAAACAGGAAGTTACATTTTTCTGCCAGGTTTATGTAAGAGATCACCAAGCACAGAAGAAACTTTAAAGGTCTGGCATAGCTTTTTGCTGCTAGAACATAACAGATTAGAGCACCTCACACGCTTACAGTTTTGGTTTGGGGGATGTGGAAGAGACAGGTGCTTTTAGTAGCATCGGGGCTAAAAAAATGTGCATAGGTACAGGAAGACTACCATTAACAGCACATATAAAGGCTTCGAGGAACCATTCAGTTTCTATGTTGGAACACTGTTAGGATCAGCATCGGTTCTCTTTTTGGTTTACCTGAAATACAAACGCCCTACCACATATGGAAACTTTCCTTGTACTCTCCAGATTTGGACTATTTGCATCATTAAGAAACAGAAACAACCATAAATACAATGGTTAACTTCTGCTACAAGTTTGAGACATTTGGATTGCGTGGCATAGACAGGACGCGGACATACTGATATCCAAAAAACACTTTTGTTTAAGGCTATGATTTCAAAATGGCTACAATTAACCAGCATTTAAGTTTAACCCATTTGACACTGAAAGCCAACATTTGATGCTAAATTCTGGTGTAAAATCCATTATTGCTTGTGGGATCTCCAGACAGCAGGCACTAGGGGGTAACTGTCAATCTCTCTAGCATGTCAATCACGGAACAATTGGAAATGCGGCTCAGATGAAAATGAGACACAATAGCTGAACAACAAAGAAAACTAGTCAGAAGCACATAAATGAAATTTAGTAGCATTGTTGTTTCATAGATATAAAATGGATTATCACTGCAAATGGAGTAATATGCAGGTAACAAAGGCAACATTAATCTTTTATCTTATTAATCACAGTTTATTAAGGCTGATACCATAATCACAAAAAAACAGGAGACTGCACATTTTGAAGCACAGATAAAATTTATACCTATAAAGTAAAGCAAAGAAAAAACACAACTAAAAAAAATCAAAATGGATTTTGAAAATTTGAAAAATCAAATCCTTCTCACAGAAGCGTACGAAATGGCTCTACAGGTTGTAAAATGAAATTAAAAGACATACCTGAGTAAAGATTTTAGCCACAGACACAAGCTATATTAGACCTTATAAGTCAAAATGAAAAACCACTGGGAAACAGTCTAAAATAGGAAGTTCTTTGAAGAAAACTTCTGCCTTAACCTAAACAAGCACATTTCAATTTACTCCTCCTAAGTTTTCAATAGTATCAGTCTAAACAGGAATATTCATTTTCAAGCACATTCGGTTTTGGTAGTAAGAGTATTTCGAAATAGATTTATGTTCAGATTTTTTTACTTTTCCAAAGTGATAAATTTAAGCAGCCATTTTGCCTCGATACAAACATTTTAGGGCCCTAAAAACACTGGCAATAAAGATACAGCCTCTTCCAACCTAATGCTCCTTCCCCAAGATTCAGTAATGATTTGTCATTTAGAGAATCTTTCCCCAAACAGCTCAAAATATGCACAACATCAAAACTTTATACCTGATGTATACTTCACCTTCAATAGGTAATAAACAGAAGAAAAGCAACACTTTTGTCCTTCTGGGAGTGGAAAGGGACAGAGGAAAGAGACACCTTCTTGGAACTGTTCTAACTAAAATCTCCAGCTCACCTAACCAGAAATACTTTGTTCTCATTTGCAGAAGTTTGAGAAGTTTTAAAAAAAACATCAAATACATTACTTTTCTTCACCACCAAAGCAGTAATATGCATGTAGTTAAGCAAAAAGAATAATGAAAACGGCTAATACATGCTGGTTTATTACACTCTGATTTCAAATACACACTTTCCAAAAAGGAACACAATGAAAAAAGAGTGTATCAGAAACACAAAATTCTGCTACTAGTATTTCTAAATTATATTTCAACTGCCACGTACAGGAAGTTCCTGTGACTATCCTTGTATTTAACCAAAAATTTCAAAAAATGTGGCAGAAGAAAAAAAGTAACAATTAACATAATTTCAATATTTTAACCACAAATAAGAACCAAGAATAGAAAAAAAAAATCTTGTATTTCAGTTCCTCTTTGTATCAGTGTCATCTCATGTCAATAAATTTGAGATTGCCAAGACAAAGCTGCACTTCAGTTTAGCAGAAATGCAGCAATTCTTGATACTGGAATTTTAAGGGGTTTTTTTTCTTTGTTTGTTTGGGGATTTGGGGTTTAGATTGGGTATTTTTGTGGGGTTTTCGGTTTGTTTGTTGTTTCTAAATCAACAGATGCAGTATTTATTCAAACTGTACTAATTCTGGAACTAAAAACTTCATTTCCGAGTAAGACTCAGTCACTCTGGCCTCTCCTTGACTTTCGGGGAGGGTGATGAGGTTTTGTTGGTTTGTTGTTTTGTGGGGGGTTTTTTGCTACAGTCAATCTTCCTGGCTTTCTGGTCCACCTCAGAAAGACTAGAGATTAGAAGAAATGAGGTAGACATTGGAAACAACTTGCTGTATTGGCCACATGTGAAACTTCATTACAGATTTTGCAATAGAATCAGCTTCACATTTTAGTTTTCTGGGTGAAGGACTGATACAAACAAAATGCATCCTCTCAGAATTTACAGTTAACTAGAAACTTTCCTACAACCATCCTTAAAATCAGTATATTGAAATAATTTTCTTTGCATTAATTCTTATTAAATCAATCTATAAACTTATAGAGAAATATTTGTATGAAGTTCCTGAACTAGTTTTCTGTCTTTTTGAGTACAGTGTTCTTGTATAATTGATACAAAAAAGAGAGAAAAAGGAATCAAATTAAAATTACTGCAACATCCAACCTTCAATCTGCTATTTCTACAGAATAAAAATGCCAGCGGTTATACCACAGCAAAAGCACTCTTTTGATGGGTTTATAAACTATTAATATCAATGTGTTACGGTAAGAAATAATGATAAAAAAGTTAAATATTACGATTTGTATTTCTCCTTGGCATTTTTACATGTTTACTCAAAGGCAAACTAGTAAATAAATAGGAATTGCATTACTTTCTCCTTTATAATCAGAAAATCATCCTTTGACATTGGATTAACACCAGGTGTGGCCAGGCTCTTCAGCTGTGCTGTGACCAGCCTGTGGGCAGTCGAAGCGTGGTTCCCAAGCCTGCGACACACCGGGTGACCAGCAGCAGGCTGTGCTAATGCAGTATCTGCTGTGTATTCCACATCCACAGCGGTGAAACAAAGGCAGCCAGAACAGTGAACTGAGGCCAATGCTGCAAGGCCTCCCTGGGATCCATTCGCACCCCGTGATGCCTCATACCACAACAGAACAGCACCATTAACTGAGCGCCAGCAGCATCTCGTACACGAGCTACGCTCCTCTAACGTGTGTGCTGGGATACGCAGACACACAGTAAGCGATTTGAAAGAGCAGAACAAAATTGGCTACCACAGAACAGCAGGTGATTAAAGGCAAATTTCTTTAGTATCTTACGTTTACTCAAAACTTCTACTATACAGAAAACCACATTTTGTGTCCAGAGCCTCAGACAGTACCCTGTTAGACACAAGTTATTTTTGCTCACTTGCATACACCCAGAATACTTGTTTTACCATCCACTCTCTTCTGACCCACTTCTAAGCTTCTAATTGACCTCAGGGTCAAGAGCTTCATCCCTACTTTGGTTCTCCCAACAGCTGCGAAATAGCAAGAAAAAGAGCAAATGGGCAATCACTCGTGCCACACATCCTGCAACTGCTTGCTCCCCACAACTTGTATCAACATTGGTGCAGTACAGTAAGTTGGAACATGTCAAAACCCTGTAAAGCTGCGAATTAGGAGATATTTGACCTTACTGACTTCAATAAAGCTCTTTAAAAAAATCTCTTTTTTAAGGCATATGTTATTAAATGCAATAAATTTTAATCTCACACGATGATTTTATATAAAGTCATATGCAAAGACAAAAACAACCCACATACATGTTTGCTGACCTAATCAAATCTTGCTTAAAAGACAACTTTGCCAAAGGAGATGCCCTGCTGGTAAAGCCTCTTGAGTTTAATGACACATTGCCAATCCATTTAAGGCCAAAGCTGAACCATCTCTAAACAGGTGTTGAAATGTAATCATGGATTAAAAGAAAACCTGAGGAAAAAATGCCAAGAAATTAAACACCTCTGGGTCAGTAGTTTGAATCCATTCCAGGCTACTAAATCAGCCACAGTAATTACCATCTGGTAGTCTACATAAAAATAAATTACTGGCCTTTTTGTTTTAATTCACTTTGTGCTACACAAAGGTCTTTATAAACAAAAGTTTCAATTGTAATTGAAAGCTTTGTTGATAATCTCACTAGGTTATGTGCAGTGCAAGTGCATATTGAGCTTGAACTGCCTTCTCATTGCCGGTGAGCCACCAGAAGTTCTTCCAATGGTTCACTCCTAGGGTGTATGCACTACACCTACACTATTATAGATAGAAGATAATACGCAACTTTATTTTCTTAACAAGAATTCACTTCTGTCTGAAACAAACAAAAATGCTTTCTGCTTCATTACACTCAGAACAAGAGCCAGCTCACAATTTAACTAATAAAAAAGTATTTCCTAGTACTGACTGGCATTAATGAAGTTGGTGTAAAAATAAAGACATTCATTGATAAGCTTCACCACATCAAGGCGGAGGAAAAGTAGTTGACAGGAACACTAACAAACACTCCTATCTTCAGTTTTCTGAAGGAAATATTTTGTGAAGAATAATTAACAACAATTTTAAGAAAGACCACTTGTCTTAAGCTGTATGTCTGCACATCCAAAGAAAAAGCTCTAGTCAGCTGTTTTGGGAATAAAGTGCAATTTACATATGACTGTTCTCCCACAAAAGAAAAGTATACTTAACACAACCGTCTATTCTGTAATACATTCACCATTTTAACTGAAATTCTTGAACACTATATTTAGCTGGTTTATTTCTTTGTAAGAACAATTTTCAGTTCCAATAAGCACTTTAATTGAGTTTTCTTTTTTTTTTTCCACTTCTTTTATTTATTTTTAAAAATATATAGCCTTCTTCCAGGTCATTCTCATGAAAGAGTAAAGTATAAATGACCCTAGAAACAATTTGCATTCTTTTTCTATCTTTTTCTTGAGCCTACATTATAAGAATTAAACTTGGTAATAGTCAATGTAATTTACATTCCACTTAATGTTTCTTTCACACCACAGATATGTGATTTATGATACATTTTATGTATTCTGTTCTCTTTGCTTCTTCAAACAAGCTTAAAGATGCTGTTTTCACCCCCGAATTTAACTAAATACGTGGATATAGAAACCTCTGCAGTCTCTCTCAAAATACAATTTTCAAGTTTAAAAAAAAAAACAAAAAAACAAAAAATCATTTTTTAGTTTCTCTCATCCTCCTCTCACCCATTTTTCTTCCAGTTTCTTGACATAAAATGCAGCCTACAATAAAATGGCATAGGCCATCACAAGGGCATACAAACAAAGCATTTTTCTTCAGTAAAGGCCCACCTTAATTATTTTAAGTGCCTCCTTCTGAAATCTGACATTTTGAAGGAGGAGGGGAAGTAGGAGAAAGACACTCAACTGGATAAATGAGAGCCAGGCACGGGCAGAAGCAACATTTCATTAAAAGTATTGCTAAGTCTTACCCTTTTCTGTCCCAAATGGGGTTCACTTAAATACGGATGCCTTTTTAGAAGTCAATCTACAATTGCATGAGTTGCAGAAGAATGATAGCCAACTTTGAAAATAATTCATTGGCCCTTAAATGACTGAAGAAATCATTTAAATTAACTCAACAAACAACTAAAATCTGTAGCGCCCATCCTTATGCCAACCACTGTAACACCTTGTTAAATATTTTGCACGTGTAACTAGCACATAAGACATCACTCAGTATCTGCAGGAGTCTTATCTTGTAGATAAGCTGCTCTAGTGATTCTACTTACATTAAAAGCCTGAAATACTCTGAAATCTCAAGCTTATGTTAGTGCATTATTGAAGAGAGAAGCACTTATATTCAGAACAGGCTCTCTGTACCAGGGTATAATCATATAATCATACACTTTTTTTGCTATATGCTGGTAATTGCAATTAAGGCAGAACTTGCTAAAACCTTAAATACAACTCCAGCTAGCTACAACATACAAGGTATCTTTTGCACTGTCATGTCAGAAAACATCTCCAACATGAGGTCACTGCTGGTCTTATGCTCTTCAGAAGAGGTAATACTTCTTTAAGTATTGTTAAATAATAAGCTACAGTGATTTATTCCAGTGACCTGAAGTCCTGAATATTATTAATATTTAAGATTACCTATACTGTATTGCATTTTAACTTACATAATTGGCAGGTCATCTTACACAACAAAACAAACCCTGGAGTTAAATGGTAGTGTAATTTACATACGGGGTAATTTACTCTAGAACCCCATCTCTTCATTTCCTCCTTGCTCCAAAGCCTTCCTGCTCCGAATTCCTCTACATCATGCTTCCCCTGCCACCAATTTCCTGCTTGCTGGTCTCCAATTTTTCATGAGTTATTGGACAGCTTTTTACCACTACCATTAATTTGCTGTGAATTTTAAATCCATTAAGAGGTATTGGCTAGGTGTCTACAAAGCGCAAACAACATTTTCGTTGTATTAATCTTTTCTGCCTATTCTGGCAGACATAAGAGCTGCTTTTTGAACAGCAAATCTGAACCCTGTTATACTGACTTAACAGACTATCTAAAAATCATAAAAATGAAAAAATTACAAGTTTAGAAAGATTATGAGAAGTCTCAATTTAAAATTCTTCATGAATCATTAGATTCTGTAATATTTTGAATATTTTACAATTAAGGGAAAAGTGAAAGTACTGTAAGTCTGCAGAAAGTTTAAAAAAAATGCATCAACAGCAATTGCTGAACTTACTTCTTCTCCATCTGACTTACTTCAATGAGGGATGAACATCAAAGCTTAATGTGGACACAACAGTTGATCTAATTAAGCATCATCATTTTTGCTTTAAAAATTTCCAAAAAGAAAGATTTCTTTAATAAAATAACCACAGAGTTCTGATGAAGCTCTTAAAAGAGGAAGAGATATTAACTTATGCATCTCTCCAGGAAAAGTTAAAAGGCTATAAAAATGGATGCTGAAAGACCAGACTTCATTACATTTAGAACTTTTACAAGGCTTTTGCTAACAGTTCAGGAATTATGAATTACATGCTTTTTCCGGCATTTTCTGTCTGAATATAGACAGAAATTGAACATCGATGCCATTTATACTATTTATACTTCAGAACTAATACCCAGTTTTTCCTGTAAACCATAGTAAAATCCACCTTGCATTCCTTGATCCATATTCATCAGCAGTGACAAGGGCATTAAAATCAAATCAGTGTATTCAAGGGAAACGAAAAGAGTGAGCACGTGATATTAAGACAGTTAATTCTGGTAACTGATCTGACAATACTTACACTGGCTGAATATCAGCTAAATTTTACAGTTTCTAGTATTAGATTGAAAAATACAATTGTGGACAGTCTGACACATTTATGTTTATAAATTACAACCATACCTTTGTTACTTTACCTTAGTAATTTCAGGTATCAATTTATATCATCATGCAGTTACTTCCAAAAAAAACCACTTCACTCAATCACAAAAAGTAATTTCACTGTTCTGCCAAATTTAAATGGCATGTCAATATTTGCTATGAAAACATAGCATGTGCCTATTTGAGATAAAAATATTTTTGTTAACAGATCACTTAAAAGACACCTCTATTCCTAATTAGATGTATATATTTGACCCCTCTCCCATCATCTATTCTTGTAGCTTTGCCTAACAGGAAATGCTGCTGAATTCCCTAGCATGTTAAAATATATTCATATTTTGATGCACTTATGTATTACATTTGCCTCCAAAGAGTAACTGTTTTATATATACACGTTATGTGCTTGAGACAAAAAATTCATAAACACATCTGATTATGCATAACACCACCATCAAGAAAAATAAAGTAATAGAACTTCAAATCATTACTATTACCTGGAATAGCTGAGGTAAAGCTTTCACTGTGAGGCAGAACCATATTCCCAGCTTGCATGGAAGTAAGTCATGCCACTGTGGTTTGTCCAGTACTCTGCAGTAAAATAAAACTGTAAGTTTTTCATTATTGCTACACAATCTCAGTCAGAACTTTCCCATTATCCTTTAATATGATCAGCACTTGTCAACTCCTACAAAAATTTGTAACTACATAATATTAAAGATACGTTCTGAATATTTAATTCAAGATACATAACAGCTAATTTCTAATCATTGCTGTATTTTAATCTCTTAAAAAGAGCTTTTACTCGAGAAGACAAATTCATAAGCCACATAATCGCTTCAGTTTAAAGAAACCGGAACCAAGAACACCCTCAAGTCTCAACCAAGTGTTCACAAGTGCTGACAACCAGATATGAAGACTGTAGCATAAACAAAACAATACATAAAAATTAATGTCATTTGCAGTTCACTGGAGCATTACTCTCTGATGTCATCAGGAAAGACGACAGGCAGAATGGTCTCTGATCTCCATCCTGCATTGATCCAGTTCATGCCCCTGCTGTGTGAACTATTTAAACCCTTTATTTCTTTCTATGAATTAATAGAAGAAATGGTGGTATCTTTTGGAGTGTTCTGAAAGTCACTATTTCTCTATGTGTTTCTTAACTAAACAATGGTGTTAGAAGCCTTTACCAACACACTTGTTTTTAAGTTAATCAGATAAAAAGCATTAAATCAGACAAGCATTAAAACCCCATAAAAACTCCTTGCTTGGTATGGTAATTAGCTAAAGCTTAAATAAATTGAAATTTGTTATTCGTAATCAAAGGCAAAAGTCTTCAAAGACAGAAAAAATTGTAAAATTTTCTAAAACCAAGTTGTAAAAATAATACCCTTCTGTAAGCCAGATACCATTAATTCAGCCTTCATCTTTCAATTATTGTTGATCTGCTGAATAAACACCACACATTTATTTACAAATCAAAACCTGGAAACATATCTACCCTGGCACACTTTGTATCAGCAGTGGCTGTTACTACAAATATTGAAATATTATATGAGAAAAGTAACTAAGATGCAAGGAGAAAATGATAGAACTAAACCAGTAGCTCATAAAATGTTTTAAAATGCAGAAAACCAGAGAGTTCCTTCCCACCTTTCATTTTTGTCTAGAGCAGCAAGTTTGGCTTCATCTGTACTCCTGCCGCTTGTTTTTTTCTTCTTCTCCCTCTTTTTTCTGCTAAGCAGTTCATCCTTGATGTAGAAAGAACTACGGTTACAGGTTATCATTAACATGTAAACCACAAATGTTACTGGGACTCTTCTGTGAAGGGTAAACAGTAGAGTAGCATTTATGCAAATGTATCTGGGGTCCTACATGATTAAGTAAAATGATCTATCTTAACAATAACTGTTGCCATGGTATCCAGTCTTTAAACACACATGAAGTCCAGTTCTGTCACTCATGTGTATCTCCATAGCAATCAAAGTTTTCTAAGAGGAGAAAGCATTCAACTTGCCTCCTTTCTCATTCATCAACTTCAATAATGCAGTGGAAAATAAAAAAAGTAAATAGATGCTAATGTATGAATATTTTTGAACTTATGCTTAGGTTTTTTTCTAGTCTACTAAGTGCAACAGATTTTCATATGACAAAAAATAAAATAATAACAAAATAATGTGGTTTATACTGCTTACCAATGCCTATCCTGTTAACAAAGACCCAAAACAAAAAAGCATTTAGCTAAGACCAAAGGCAAAGCAAGTATGACTTTTAAATGAATAAAACCTCATTATTTTTAAACAACATTTAGGAAAACCAGAGACATGACTACAGTAGCATATGATTCTGCATCAACAGACGACAGAAGAGTTTTTATTCCTTTTCTTCCTTCCAGTTAAAAACCAAAGAACCATCTCTTGCCATTTATTACCAATTCTAGAAAAATCAAGTAGTTTTTAGATTACTATTTCTGATATGTTGAATGTCTCATTCTATAATTATCACCATTTTAAATATAATCCTTTTAAAATGTGAAAAATCCAAAATCAAAACAGGGGAAGTGGTAGGGATCCCTATAATATGCAAATTTCTGCAGGAAATTCAATACTAATAATTGAAGCAAGTTTGATTTATTACCAATACTTACCAGCTTTTTTTCCAGGTAGATTGACCAAACCACAGCATAATGACCCACTGTGAGTATAATGAACAAGAGTAATGCCAGCTCAGCATTGCTCATTTTTCTCACCCGCCTGTAGTAGAATACAGGCTGTCGCCAATCTGGTAGTCCATTGATCAGAATATCATCATACCTACAGTGGCAAATATAACAGGCTTTCATGGAGAGCTAAAAATGCAATAAGCCCAACCATCCAATTATAAAACAAAACAAATTATAATCCACAGACTACCTGAATAATACACACACAACAGATCATTTCATTTTGGTTTTGTTTCGTCTTTTAATAGAGCAATGCCTTGTTTTGTCAGCTGCTAGAATGGCATCCAGAAACAAACAGAATCCAGAACCAAATGCTGGGGAAATGTATTTGGTGTTTG